GCAGGTAATCATGTCTAATCTGAGGAAGGGGGAATAGAGTAACTCCAATTCCCTGAATGACGAGCCCCTTAGCTGTGTAAGGTGAGGCGGACGCCCGGACGGAGGCTCCAGTCGAGTGTGTGTCTTCAGGTAGTAACTGAAAGTGAGTGCGTTGTGGCTGGGAAGTGGGCCACACTCCTCACCGACCTTGGATCAGCTACTACACTTACACCAAACGCAGGGAAGGACGAGCCTCTTTTTTTTACATTGTTTTCGTCCGCATGAGTCGTTTCTATATCAGAACGGGGACATAAATGTGGAGCAGCGAGTGAACCTTTTCGTAAAGCTTCGGTACCCTGTGTGCCAGAAGTTTAGGGGGAGTTTCAGATATGTTGGTGCGGCTGGACACTATTGGTGAAGGGAGACGGACGAGCGATCCAAGGGTAGGGTGAGACCAATAATTGAAGGTTGGGTGTGGGAGTTCCCTGGAAGGATCAGTCTAGGACTCGTACAACAGAGCATCCATTGGTCATCTTCAGGAGGTCGCACGCACGAACACACGCCTGAGCCAGGTATATAAGGGTTAACTAGAGCAGGAGTCGGCACTGGCATCCTCGCCCCTCCGCCGAAAACATGTGGACGTGGACTAGCTTAGTAAGTAAATTGGAACACAGTACTATGTAGTAAGCCTCGGACTTAACTTAATCACATATTGCACTAATTCACGAACATCAGTTATCTTATGTCCTAATATTTATGTACTTTTAACTATGTATTTTGAGACATCCATTCAATATGTAAACAAGGCAGACACTAACACAATATTAAGTGAGAAGGTAATGAGAAAATGAAACCAGTTAGAAAGGTGATTAAGGGACACTACACAGATTCAAGAATATGTATGTCTCCGTATTACAAAATGGACATAAATTCGTTAGAAAACATTCAGCGTAGGATGACTAAATTAATACATAGCATTAGAAATCTTCCTTATGAAGAAAGATTGAAGACTCTTAAGTTACATTCACTTGTTAGATGAAGAATGAGGGGAGACCTGATCGAAGTGTATAAGTGGAAGATAGGTATTAATAAAGGGGATATTAATAAGGTCTTGAGGATGTCTCTCCAAGAGAGAACCCGCAGTAATGGATTTAAATTAGATAAGTTTAGATTTAGAAAGGATATAGGAAAGTATTGGTTTGGAAATAGGGTAGTTGATGAGTGGAACAGTCTACCTAGTTGGGTAGTTTCAAATCTAGGTTGGATAAGTACATGAGTGGGAGGGGTTGGATTTGAGTGGGACTTTCACATCAGAGCTTATTTCTTGGGTGGCATTGGAAATTGGGTTGGGCAAATGTTTTGTTAGTGGGATGAATTGTAAAGGACCTGCCTAGTATGGGCCAGCAGGCCTCCTGCAGTGTTCCTCCTTTCTTATGTTCTTATGTTCTAAACCCAAGAGATTATAAAATAAATATACTAGACAATCGAAGGTTGAGACGTTTGGTAGTGAGTTGAAGCACACTTCCCGCAGATACAGATATCAGGGTACACATACAAAGAAAAAACACATAGTTCCACACACACAAAAAAACATATATACATATATCTGATCAAGTATATACACTAGAAAAAGAGCAGAGGCTAACCATGAGGCTGGACACTTAGCTGAGAGAGAGCTGGCGTACGGGGAGAGGCTTTAATTGAAGATAGAAGGACCACGGAAGCATGATACATACTTCCAAGAGCTTGTTGGTAGGGTAGAAATACAACAGTCTTTCTGAAAGTTTGGCTTAGGTCAGCTAAATTATCTGTATTTGGTCTATTGTGTTATGAGTGAATTATACATACACAAGAAGGGAATGGATAAGCCAATTACAAACACTCAACTTTTAAAAGCTTTTGGTAGCTCCTCACGAAATTTTAATTTTAAAAAAATTGCAAAATATAGGTGCAAAAGGTAAAGTATTGAGACGGATGAGAGATTTCTTGGTATGAAAAATCGAAAAGTGATAAGAGGTACACTATGTTGTCGCGGTGAAGTTACTACCGAGGCCGCACAAGCATAGCTCGCCCCGAGAGCTTTTTAATCTCTCTCTCTCTCTCCCTCTCCCTGTACACACATACACACACACACACACACACACCACACACACACACACACACACACACACACACACACACACACACACACACACATATATATATATATATATATATATATATATATATATATATATATATATATATATATATATATATATATATATATATATATATATATATATATATATATATATATATATATATATATATATATATATATTATATACGCACACAATGCACACTGCTAGGTTATCGCAGACTTTTAGAGTATTGAAGAAGTGGAACTAGATTTAAAACGAGATTAAAACTTAAATCCTCCGTCACAGCACTGAAAAATGCGACGAAGGAAATTACGTCAGCCAACGGGAAATTAAGAGGTGAGCCCTCGAACTGGAGTTCAACTTCTGCTAAGTTACTGTGGCTAGAAAGGGAATGCCACACACATTTGGAACGTTATAAAGAAGCTTGTGTATTTCTAGAGCGTCATGGCAATAGTAGTAGCAAAGAAGTAAAATGAATTGGGAGCCCCAGGACAGGATAATTCATGAATTTATAGCTAAATATGTCCGCAACAGCTGCGAAGCGCAACACAAGAAGAAACACTGAAATAAGCCTACTGGCCCAACTAGGCACGTTCTCACTGATGCTACCTACAAGTTTGTCCCAGGCATCTACACTTGTAAACACAGAAAGGTGGAGCAAAGATAGGCTGCAGAACTAACTTGTATTGTGACAACGTTTCGTATTGTCAAAGAGCTTTATCAAATCACATCTTGATAAAGCTCTACACAGAACGTTGTCATATTAAAATCTTGTTCTGAAACCCGTGTCTTTTCTTCACTGTTAATTAGTAGTACGACATATGCAAACGACCTAGTGAATACACAACAGAAAATATACATAAGCAGGTGCGAGTGAGTACACATACATACCTGCCATGTACACTGTAAAGAATACATTATTATTATTATTATTATTATTATTATTATTATTATTATTATTATTATTATTATTATCATCAAAAAGAAGTGTAAAGAATACAAACCTATAGGGTTCCAATGTCCAGGTACCTTAATTAAAATACCACTACACTTTACATAACGAGGTTGAAGATAGCTGTACTAATGCAAGGTACAAGGATTATTAGAGTACAGAAGAGACTAACGTGTAACCGTCAGTCAGACGGATCTTCATGCGTCTCACACTCGATGCTGAATCCAAATACTGCTACTGCCGACTGTATTGAAGAGATAGGTTGCAGAACAACCTTGTACTGGGACAACATTTCGCCCTGTTACATGTATATGATGTTAAAACTCTAAACTAACCGAACGATACTTAGCTTGTTCTTCAACCTATCTCTCCTCCAACTGGATGAAGTATCACTAGTGCTTACTGGGCAGAATCGATAAAAAAAATCACCTACATATTGAAAAAGACATTTTTCGAATTAACGTTCATGTACGTGTGTACACGCTTGTATGTATTTATGTATACATGTATTTGTTTTGGCAAGCGGATGCTCGCTTATGTGAATATTTATGTAAATATCTCTGAGATGCCTGGTCACAAGAGACACGCCGACATTGATATTTATGTTCATTAAGACCACACAGATGAACATTAATCTGAACACGGGAATAAATAAGCATTTAGTAAGACCAGGGGAATGAATAAATATTTATCAAGCCACTGGAATAAATGAGCTTCAGAATAAATGAGCTTCAGAATAAAACCAGATTATTATTATAATCAAAAAGAAGCGCTAAGCCACAAGGACTATACAGGTCAGAATAAAACCAGAGATAATTAATATTTTAACTGCTATTCAAAATTTTAAAGTACTGTATCGCCAGAAAGCCTTAAACTCGTATGGGGTTTGTCAGCTAGAAAATACCAGAACAAGAATATTTTAATTATTATTATTATTATTATTATTATTATTATTATTATTATTATTATTGTTGTTGTTGTTGTAGAAGCGCTGAAGTCGTAGGGTTCATACAGCGCTTGAGGAATAGGAGGTAATCTGGTCTGATATGAGGAAGGGGGAAGGTAGCTCTAATTCCTGAAATCAAGAGCCCTTCACCAACATCAAGACTCATCAACTAATGAGAATAAGATCTAATAAAATTCAATTTAGCATTATTTTGGAGGTCAACACCCTTCAAAGAATAGGATGAACATACACGAGACAGATCAGAATGAAGAGAACAAATTATTATTACAGTTATTGGGCTAAACTCAAAAGTGTCATGAAGGAATTTGGCGGAAACCAGTAAATTTGTCTTAAGAGTCCTGAAGGTTGGAAGTAGAGAACCTGTACTCTGAAGGAGCCGTGGCGATAATGCATTACTAGGAGTCTACAGGGTCATACAGCGCCTCACAAAATATAAAGTAATCATAGGGAGATGGAAAGAAAGTGAGTACAAGTATGCAAAGCATATGTTTTAGTGTAAGGAGGATCAAGCGTTCACCACTCTCTACTGACTGGCCCACAGGGTGTGGTGCTTCGAATACTAGTACCACCACTACTATTGCTAATAGTAATACTACTCCTACTGCTACTACTACTACTACTACTACTACTACTACTACTACTACTAATAATAATAATAATAATAATAATAATAATACAGTGAGATAAAAGTCGGCACGAGACCGAACAACAATTCATGAGCCATTCAAGTGCTTCTTGGTCTGTACATTTCAATATGACAGCTATTCCCAAAGATTTTTTGTCTGTCAGTTTTCTCCCATTTTACCTAGTGAAATAAGTAAGACAAATTTATCATTCACTGACTGGGAATTCCGAAAAGTGGATTTAAGGAGGAGGAAGGATAGAAGAGAACTGTGAAACTGCAGCAAAGTGATTCAAATGAAGTTAATTTTAACATTTGTTTTTGTGTCCCTGACAGGTAGTGTTGTCCCTGGCGGTGGTTAGCACACTGAGTTTTCCACGTTCTGATGCCGGCTACAATATCCCTACGGTGGGCCTGGGATCCCGAGCCCAGTACTACGTCCTCCACAGCGATGGCACTTACAAATACGGCTACGACACCGGCGATGGCAACTATGAACAATCAATGGCACAAACACCTGGTAATGTAGCTGGAGCATTTGGGTACAAGGACCCGACTGGGACCAACATCAAACTGGAATACACGGCCGATGACAGAGGCTTCATTCCCCGTGGTACTCACCTTCCGGTTGCTCCTAAGGATGACTTCGGCTCCCGTGTAACCGGAGGATCTGTTGCTGCCACTAGAAGAGTTCAATCGTCTTTCCACCCTGCAGCTTTCACTCCTGGTGCTGCTCCTGCCAGTGCCGTGGCAAGCGTTAGAAGTAGTCCTGCTGACCCTGTTGAAGTAGCACAGGTTAGGAGTGCTACTTCTGACGACGGTAGTTACAGCTTCTCCTACGAAACTTCCAGTAGCTCTCGATCTGAAACAGGTGATGCCCAGAACTCTGTTAAAGGAGCCTATTCCTTCGTTGCCGACGATGGCGTTAACCGTCACATCCAATACATCTCAGGTGCTGATACTGGTTACATTGCTGAAGGAGATTCTCTTCCTGTAGGACCCCCTGTACCTGGTGCTGAAAGTGGCATTCCCACGGGCAGGATACTTCCGGTACTCTCCGAAGAAGAAGCTAACGCTCTCGCTGCTTCAACATCCAGGAGAGGCTTCACTGCTGCAGCTTCCCCTGTTGTTGCCACGTACAGTGCTCCCACTTCTTCTGCTAGTGCTCCGAGCCCAGCCACACGCTCTAAGATTTCTCCAGGTGCACCTGCTTCTGATGCTTCCTACTCTTTCAGTTATGATGCTGGAGACAGCTCTCGGTCTGAGAGTGCTGACCCCAGTCTTAACGTACAAGGGACTTACAGCTTCGTTCCTCCAGATACCCAACATCGTCTGACTGTCAACTACAGAGCAGGTGCTGACACTGGCTTCGTCGCCGAAGGTGATCACCTTCCGGTTGCTCCTGATGCTGCCGTTGGCTCTCGTGGCACTGGAGGGGCTGTTGCTGCCACAAGAACTATTCCAACATCCTACATCCCTGTATCACCCACTCGTGCCAATGGTGTTGCAAGCGTTAGGAGTAGTTCTACTCTCCCAGTTGAGGTGGCTCAGGTCAGGAGTTCTGCTGCTGACGATGGCAGTTACAGTTTCGCCTACGAAACTTCCAGTAGTTCTCGATCCGAAACAGGTGACGCCCAGAACTCTGTTAAAGGAGCCTATTCCTTCGTTGCCGACGATGGCATTAACCGTAAGATCCAATACACCGCAGGTGCTGATACTGGTTACATTGCTGAAGGAGATTCTCTTCCTGTAGGACCCCCTGTACCTGGTGCTGAAAGTGGCATTCCCACGGGCAGAATACTTCCGGTACTCTCTGAAGAAGAAGCTAACGCCCTCGCTGCTTCAACACCCAGGAGAGGCTTCACTGATGCAGCTTCACCAGTTGTTGCCACGTACAGTGCTCCCACCTCTTCTGCTAGTGCTCCGAGCCCAGCCACACGCTCTAAGATTTCTCCAGTTGCACCTGCTTCTGATGCTTCCTACTCTTTCAGTTATGATGCTGGAGACAGCTCTCGATCTGAGAGTGCTGACCCCAGTCTTAACGTACAAGGGACTTACAGCTTCGTTCCTCCAGATACCCAACATCGTCTGACTGTCAACTACAGAGCAGGTGCTGACACTGGCTTCGTCGCCGAAGGCGATCACCTTCCGGTTGCACCTGAAGCTGACGTCGGCTCCCACGTGACCGGAGGGGCTGTTGCTGCTACAAGGTCTGCAGGAGCTGTTTCCAGGGGTCAGGTCACCCCTGGCTTCTATAACGGCCAGACCAAATCTGCAGGAGACACCTTCAGTGGTCAGGCCCCTGCTGACTCCTCCAGCGGTCACACCAGCCAGGTAGTTGGGGATGTGCTGCTCCATCAGTATTCTGCCACTAATTCTGACAAGTTTGGTTACGTGTTCACCGCAGTGCGCCGCTGATAAACAGAGACCTAGCGTGAGTATGCCTGAAGGCGCATCGAAGCTTATACCTGTTCAGCCTAGTATCTAGATCCAATTTTCTCAACCTCTTGTCTCAACCCAATTTTCTTAGCTTTATAAAAACCCAATTTTCACAACCTAGTACCTAAATCCAATCTACTCAACTTGGACTCTAAAACTAGCGTTCTCAGCTTCTTATCTAGACCATCATTCTCAGCTTCGTATCCAAATCCAAGTTAAATTGTTTTGATATCCCTTGCAATCTCTGCTTCACGAGGTATCAATCTTCGCGCCTTCATCTCAGCTCGCTAACCTTCAACATGGATGACGACGGGTGCTGCCCATTAGTAGCCTAAACACCTGTATATAAGTGTCTGTAATATAATTTAACCCAGCAATAATCAAAAAGCCATAAAAAACATCGGTGGCAACTAACGAAAATACCCGAGCAATGGTAGGAAAAAAATGTTTCTTTAATACACGGTTTATCAATAAAAGTGGCATATGACGCAGTTGGTTTATTTATCCACAATGTTTATTATACTCAAATATGATAATGTTTAGGCTAGCAGGAAACATAATATGCTACTAATAATTAAAATGTATTTCAGCTTTATTCTTACTAGTTCTAGATTATGCATCTTCATATTAGCAAACAACAGACATTATTATTTAAAATACGATTTACAAAGCAAGAACAATAAACATCACTGATAACGTGGTTGTTCTTATTTGTTTCTTTCACAGTGACGTGATTCTGAACATATTATTCACTGATATTTAAGGCAGTGATTCATGTCCTCGACTGTTTATAGTGTTCACTGTGCGGCAAGAACACCATAAACATCCTAGTAAACATTACATACTAAATAATTATAACATGTTTAGAAGCATGTATATTCATTACGATGGTGTCCTTACAAATATTTGTAGAACAAGTGTATAATTTTTTCAGCACCAAGCTTCACTTCTTTATTCACAAATAATGTATGCTTTATTCAATCGTATATTTTATTCAATTTACTTTATCTTGCACCTCATCCTATCCAGAGATTTCAAGCACTTCAAGCCTAATTTCCAAATTACGGCAACATACTCAAAATTTTAAATCTAATATATGTATTTCCCCACCAACCAATCTTTGTATTGCAGTCATGTCATTCTGAAATTGCAGTTAAAATTACTATTTATTCTTCATCAACATCAACACTGTGTTCATATATACTATCTTTACTTCCATAAACATTTTGCATTATTTTGTATCTCTTGAAGAAGCGTTCTATATTTTTTTTTCTGAATTCTTAATTTTCGGAGTTCCCTGAAGGGAATACAGTGGTTATCGGAATTGTTACTCCCCCCCCCCCCTCCGGTCAAGATTTTCAGCCATAACTTGAGAACTCCCTTTCTGATAGACTTTAAACTTTTCACGCTGGTGTACCATAACCAGAGAAAGGTTCAGACTGTTATTGTGGTACACAGCTTTGTAATTTCGTTCTGAATCTCTCGTTTGTGAGGTCGTTCTCACTAATCCACTCGTCACGAGATTTCTCGAGGATGGACTAGCATGTGGTGGAAAACAGCCATCCTTCCATCCTTAATGATAATCAATGTAGTAGTTGATAGTGTCACTGAGTTTTTAATGACAGCCTGGTCGAGATGTAAGAATCACAGGTTTGAGGTTCACAACCTATGTGTGTATGTGTGTGTGTGTGTGTGTGTGTGTGTGTGTGTGTGTGTGTGTGTGTGTGTGTGTGTGTGTGTGTGTGTGTGTGTGTGTGTGTGTGTGTGTGAGTGTGTATGTGTGTGTGTGTGAGAGAGAGAGAGAGAGAGAGGAAGAGAACTATATTTCCCAGTTCGTACTGGATACAATAAAGTTTACTTTAGTTTCTGGGAAATGAAGAAAATCATCCCTGATTGTGTGTCAATGTGATCTGAATTAACCGCGTTCAATCAACACACTGAATAAGTAATATGAAACTTCTTGGTCCATGACACTGAACAAAGGGATGTGCAACGAAGATTCACTCTACAAGACGAGAATGCAAAATACTATAATACTCGATTGTACTGTTGGTGATCGCCGCATGCCATAGTAAGTTGGGTATTTTACCTTGAGAGGGAGCTTGCTCACCCTGTTCATGTACGTACCTTCTGCCTGCCACTTTGTTAGTTTTATCATTTTATTGTGCACTTTATACTCATCCTTTGGGAAGTGCTCACCTCATACCCATCCTGTGAGTAGTAGTCACCCCCTACCAATTCTGTTGGTGATAGTCGCCCCATACCCATTCTGTTGGTGACAGTCATCCCATACCCATTCTGTTGGTGATAGTCACCCCATACCCATCCTGTTGGTGATATACAGTCACCCATACATATCCTATGGGATGTATTTACCAACATCCCTCCTAGATTTTTACATCATTCATGTCTTATACTACTGTGGTAGTCACTTCATACCTATCCTGTAGACTAGTCACTACATACCTATCCTTTGGGCAGTAAGAAAGATATTACAGAGGCACATAATAGGTCCACGGACTGGGCCCCAACACTGTTAATAAAAGAAGTTACAATAATAACAAACTATTTGAAAAATAATTTATTCGCAAAAATTAATTGAACTAAGCAATACTGCTGTACATTAACTGTCCCCTTCAAGGCAGGACAAATTATTGACCTGGAGAGTGTACAAAGAACTTTCACGGCACACATAAGTACGACAAGGCACATAAATTACTGGGAACGGTTGAAGTCCCTTGATTTGTACTCCCTAGAACGCAGGCGAGAGAGATACATAATATACACTTGGAAAATCCTAGAGGGATTAGTACCAAACTAGCACACGAAAATCACTCCCTATGAAAGCAAAAGACTCGACAGGAGATGCAACATTCCCCAGTGAAAAGCAGGGACGCCACGAGTACAATGAGAGACAACTCAATAATTGTCCGGGGCCCAAGACTGTTCAACTGCTTCCCAGCATACATAAGGGGGATTACCAATAGGCCCCTGGTTGTCTTCAAGAAGGCACTGGACAGGCACCTAAAGTCAGTACCTGACCAGCCGGGCTGTGGTTCGCACGTCAGTTTGCGTGCGGCCAGGAGTAACAGCCTGGTTGATTAGACTCTGATCCACCACGAGCCCTGGTCTCAGACCAAGCCGTGGGGGCGTTGGCCCCCGAAACCCTCTCCAGGTATACTCCAGGTAATGATTTGTTCTTACCACTTTAAGCCTCAATTCTAGCTAATCTGTTTGAATGAGTTCTCCAAGATATTACCAAGCTCACACTCCAACAATGTATAAAGGTCTAAAAATCCACTTACCTCATCAAACATACTATTACTACGAGAAAGTAGAAGTATGATGTGGCAGATTCTATCGTCCCATGTTTAGCGGGTGATCTTTCGTGGTGTAGTGGTCAGTAGTAAGGACTCTTCTCACTGGAAGAAAAAAAAATTTTTAACCTTGATTTACTATTGCGTCTCAGCGCAACCGCAACTTGAGTATATCACAACACAACCATGACTTAAGAGTGCATCCCAATACAACTTCAACTTAGCAGAACATCAACCTAGCAGAACATCAACCTAGCAGAACCTCGACTTACGGGTACGTCACATCGTAGTCTCAACACGAGTGCGTCAGAACTCATCCTTGATTTATCGGTTAATCACACGACAACCTTGGCTCATACACCGTCCTGAAACAGTAGAATGGCTAGTCCTCTGGGCACATCCTGGTGCTTCCCTTCCCACACACGCCAATATTTTTTTTTTACCATCACACAAACTGTCACCACTAATATTACTACCAACACAATAATAGCCTTCACCTCCATCATAATTTTCACCAAAACCATTATTATCACTATCACAATCAACAGCACCAGATCAATGCCACCACATCTTCTCCCTACCATCATGACTATAAGCTACAATAGACAATATTATAATTTCCAGTCAAACCAAAAAAGTGTGACAGAAAATGACAGTGCCTTCCGCATACATAACTGTTTTAATTCTTTTTGCTTCAGGAAAGAGAATGTGATTCGTAGTCGAACACTTTGAAGCACAACATCGTAAAATCGTTATGAATTCTGTGTAATCGTTATGAACTAAGTAGTGCATCGACATAAAGTTAACTGCACTTACTACGAAACTTACAACCCCTCAAATAGAACGCAAAAGCGCCCTAAAATCTACCATCAATAATTTCATTGGAAATTGTCAAGCTCGTCAACACATTATAGTACCATTAAACAGCTAGAAAATGTGGAATCGCATTACAAATATGAAAAGAGCTAGACACAACAATGACCAGATTAAGGCCAGTAGGCTGCCACAGCTACGGATGCAACGCAGATATTAATGAACGCTGTATCCACCGCAAAGGCCCTGAAATGATAAATTATTCTCCATTCAAACAGCTTTATACATCACAGTGCGAGAAATCTTCAAACATGAACTTGCCACACTCAAGGTCCCGTGTAACACAGTAAGCGCAACCAAAGTCGTACAAGAATTAAGAGCCAAAGCAGTATGGTTCTAGGGGAAATAAATGTAGTTTTGTAATACTGACTCCACAGTAGGTGGCCAGGCCTCAAACACCTGCTACACTACGATAAAGTAATGGAATGGGTTACGTGATCATATGAAGGCAAATCTTGGTATAAAACAGTTTAAGAATAGAGCCAAAGAATATATAATGAACGAAGCTGCAGAAAGGGAAGAGAGTGATTTCTTGTATTAAAACATCTATACTAATTTACTTTTTATTCGATGTATTTATGATTGTGTTGATTTACTTTTGTTTGTATCACTGGGTAAAAAAATAAGACGCCATGTGTGTATGTGTGTAAAAATACAACTAACAATATACCGCAAGGAAATGTCACTAATTGTACTGGGCGTGTGAAGGGGCGGTGTAGGAGACGACTTTCTGGGGACAAGAAGGGTGAGAAGAGGACAGGTAAAGAAGAAGGGAGGGTTGTACTGTGCTAAGGTCCAGGAATGCAGCCTTCAAGGCCAACACCACAGACTCCTTTAGTTTCACACGCGCGCGCAGGCACTCGAACACGAGCGCGAGTGCACGCACACGAACACACATGACCTTAGCGGAGATAAAGATTAGTGGACACATGATTGCATACAAACTCTTAAGAGGAACTGATAGGATACACAGTTTAAACTAAGGGGACCATGATCAAAGGGACTCGGGTGTTAGCTGAAGACGGGTGTTAGCTGAAGACGGGTGTTAGCTGAAGACGGGTGTTAGCTGAAGACGGGTGTTAGCTGAAGACAAGTGAGCCACCAGAATGAAAGGTAGTGGGGTATCCGCAGTAAAAATAAAAAAGTACGTGAAACCTATGAAACTTTCATAGTCAAGCTACAAAAACTATAAGATAAATAATCGCTTAAATCAGTGGATATACAATCGTCTGTTGGAATATGTAGCCTACCTTGTCTGTCTCATCTTTTCCACTGACAGTGTACACCAACACTACCT